AACCCATGCAGGCACAGGGAGAACATACAAACTCCAGGCAGGTACTGCTGTGGTTGTGATTCAAACCAACAACCCTAGCAGTGCCAGGCAGAAGTGCTAACCATTTAGCCATAAACTAGTGTATGCTACCTATAAACTTATCACTTTTTCTGCTCCACTTTACAGAGAACATTGAGCCACTCACATCAACTGCTGTCCTACAAAGATGCTTTTAGGGTGCATGCATACTGGGCTTAAGAAAAGCTGCTTCTACTATTTTGCCTGTAGATTCAGCTCCATGTTATCCTATGTGTCCATGCTCATTGGGACGTTTAACCTCCCTGGCAGTATTGCCGAGTGTAGCTCGGGGTAAAATTTCAGTACACACAAGCGGTAACCCCGAGCTACACTCGGGCTTACCATCCGGCGTTGCTCAAGGATTCCCTGGAGCACTTACCTTGTCCTTCGCTCCCGCGATGCGTCCCCTGCAGCATCCCTGGCCATCTCCTCCCGCCGATGCTGGCATCCGGCTTCCGTGTTCCTGTCCCTGTGACGACGGGACGTATGGGCAATGGAACCGGCGGCAAATTTGAAAGTTTTAAAAAATGTCTTTTTTTTTTAAAACGATTATTACATAGCAAAACATTGCTGTTTCAAAGCATTTCACATACATTTTGTCCCTACTGCTTTGTCCTGTGCCCTGCCTGCATTTTGACTGTTCTTTCTGCCTGGAAACTTAGAAAAGCCCATGGCGTCCAAAAAGCATCCCTTTAGGTCAAAATCAGTTTTAGACCAGCTAGAGAACAGCGATAGTAAATCAGAACCACTTGCAGAATTGAGTGATAATGATTTGTGGGGAAATTCGTCATCAGACACTGAAAACGATTCTGCGACTTTGCTCAGTGATGTGCGAACTTGGCGCTCTATTTCAAATTTCAGTGTTTTTTGGTTTAATTACATTATTGAATAAAATGTATTATTATTATTATATTATTATTTTTATGATTATTTATTAAATTATAATTTATGATTTCGTGTTTCAAGTTTTATCACATCCGGAATGTTTACTAGACTCTTGTTCGGACAGATTTCAGTGAGTTATTCCTAAAAATAACAGGCCTACAATAAAAAAAACTACATATTTCCATGCAAAATAATGGTACTGCTTTTAGCACTAAAAATCTGAAATAATCATACCGCCAGGGAGGTTAAAGGTAAATTTCAGACTCAGCATTTAGAGGCAGAAAAAAAACCTTCTGGATTGCCTTTTTTAGAAAGTTTTCAAGCAGAAACAATCCTAAACGCTCCTAATTCATCTAAATCTGTCAAAACGCGTGTACAAAAATGGTCTATATAAGCGTTTGCACATGATGGCAGGGCTAGCCATTATGTATTCTTCTCCATACTCTTCATCAGCCTTTCTTAACCTTTAACATGAAGAAACCCTTGAAATTATTTAATGGTCTCAGGGAACCCCTGCGAATAATTATTATATCTACAACATACAGTACATAGCGTGATGGTCTCTAGCACGAATGCCCCTTACAATTGCGGTCATTGGGAAGGATCCCCCTTACAGATAGCTACATTTGTGCTCAAAGGTTTGCATACCCTGGCAGAAATTGTGATATATTGACATTAATATTGAAAATATGACTGATCATGACAAAAAAAACTGTCTGTTATTTAGGGATAGTGATCATATGAAGCCATTTATTATTACATAGTTGTTTGGCTCATTTTTAAATCATAATGATAACAGGAATTATCCAAATGGCCACGATTAAAAGTTTACACACTTTGGAATGTTTGGCCTTGGTATGGACACACAACATGTCACACATGGATTAAAACAGAAATTAAAGGTTAATTAATCTATGTCTTTTAAAATTGCAATTAGTGTCTTTGTATAAATTGTCAGTGGGTTTGTTAGCTCTCACGTGGATGCACTGAGCAGGCTAGATACTAAGCCACAGGAAGCAGAAGAGAACTTTAAAAATACCTGCATAACAAGGTAATGGAACTTTATAAAGATGGAAAAGGATATAAATAGACATTCAAAGCCTTGAATATGCCAGTCAGTACTGTTCAATCGCTTATTAAGAAGTGTAAAATTCAAAGATCTCTAGATACCAAGCCAAGATCAGGTAGGCTAAGAAAAATTGTAGCCACAGCTGCCAGAAGAATTGTTCAGGATAGAAAGAAAAACCTACAAGCAAACTCAGGAGAAATACAGGCTGCTGTGGAAAAAGACAGTGTGGTTGTTTCAAGGAGCACAATACAATGATACTTGAACAAAAATGAGCTGCATGATCGAGTTGCCAGAAAGAAGCCTTTATTGCATCAATGCCACAAAAAAGCGCAGTTACAATATGCCCATCAACACCTTGACACATGTCACAGCTTTTGGCTCACTGTGATCTGGAGTAACAAGACCAAAATAGAACTTTATGGTCACAATCATAAGCGCTATGTTTGGAGAGGGGTCAGCAAGGCCTATAGGAACAATAATACAGTCTCCACTGTGAAGCATGGTGGTGGCTTGCTGATGTTTTGGGAGTGTGTGAGTTATAAAAGCATGTGGAATCTTGTGAAAATTGATGGCAAGATGAATGCAGCATGTTATTAGAAAATACTGGCAGACAATTTGTATTCTTCTGCATGAAAGCTGTGCATGGGACTCTCCAGCATGACAATGACCCTAAGCAAGAGGCAAAGTTTTCCCTACAGTAGTTACAGCAGAAAAAGGTTAAGGTTCTGGAGTGGCCATCATAGTCTCCTTGTCTTAATGTAATGGAGCCACCCTGGGGCGATCTCAAACCTGAGGTTAATTTAAGATGAGCAAAGACTTTGTATGACCTGGAGGTATTTTGCCAAGATGAATGGGCAGCTATAGCACCTGCTAGTATTTGGAGCCTAATAGGCAACTATTACAAAAGACTGCACTCTGTCAATGCTAAAGGGGGCAATACACAGTATTAAGAACTAAGGGTGTGCAGACTTTTGTAATGGGGTCTTTTTATTTGTTTACTTGTTGCCATGTTCTGTTTTATGATTGTGCCATTTTGTTATGATCTACAGTTGAATATGAATAAGAAATAAAAGAAATGTGTTTTGCCTGATCACTTATGTTTCCTTTAAAATGGTACATACTGTATATTATCGATTCTCCAATGCTATGCAAACTTATGAGCACAACTGTAAAAAGATCAGTGCTATAAGTAAGTAATTTGTAATTGCTCATTATTCAATGAACCTTTAGCAACCTTCTCAGGAACTCTAGGGTTCCACAGAATCCTAGTTAAGAAAGAATGCTTTACGTACTCTAACCATTTATGGCAGATGTTTACAGCCCAGACATTCCCAGCAAACAGTCCAAATAGCAGATGCAGATGGGTGTATTTATAAGAAAAATTCCATAGCATTTTGCCAAGCGAAAGTACATGAATACTATATTGCCAAAAGTATTGAGAAGCCGGCCTTTACATGCACATGAACTTTAACCACTTGCCCTCCAGAGGATTTACCCCCTTCCTGACCAGGCCATTTTTTGTGATACGGCACTGCGTTACTTTAACTGACAATTGCGAGGTCATTCAATGCAGTACATAAATTAAATGTATGTAATATTTCCTAAAAATAAAGCTTTCTTTTGGTGGTGTTTGATCACCCGTGTGTTTTTTGTTTTTGGCTATAAACAAAAAAAAGACCAGAAATTAAAAAAAAAAAAACAATATTTATTTTTTTGAGCTATAAAAAAAAGGCTGACAATTTTGAGAAAAAAGCAATATTTTTGAATTTTTGCTATAAAACATAGCCAGTAAAACAATTTTGAAAATAAAATGTCTGCATAAATTTAGGCCAAAATGTATTCTGCTGCATGTCTTTGCTAAAAAAAATCCCAATACGTGTAAATTAATTGGTTTATGTGAAAGTTTTGCCCTCTACAAATGGCGGTATACATACTGGAATTTTTATTTTTGTTTATTTTTTACTAGTAATGGCGGTGATCAGTGACTTATTGTGGGACTGCAGTGGGCATTTTGACTTTGGGTGGGAACTGACTAGCTGCCACTGACATCCCCAGTGACACTAATACAGTGATCAGTGCTAATAAAAGCACTGTCACTGTAATAATGACACTGGGCAGGAAGGGGTTAACATCTGGGGTGATCAAAGGGTTAACAGTGTGCTGTGTTGTGTTTTACATAGTGTGCTATGTGTTTTACTATGTAGACATGCTGCTTTGTATTGCTCTGCTGTGCAGAGCAATACAAAGCAACATGTTCGTGCTGACAGGGGAGAGATCTGTGTTGTTTACACACAGACCTCTCCCCTGTCAGCTAAGCCGACGATCACCAAGTCCCGGCCGAGAATTGTTGGCTGGGCCTGGCAACTGACATGCCGAGGAGCCAATAGTGGCATTTGTAGGGAGAGTGTGTGCGTCCCCTACCCGGAAATGCAAATCACGTATATATACATGATTTTGTGCATCCCTGCCGCTCTACAGCAGTTCTTCTGCTATAGGACAGTCGGGAAGCGGCATCCCAGTCTTAGTCCATAGAGTTCAATATTGAGTTTGCCCACCCTTTGCAGCTATAACAGCTTCAACTCTTCTAGGAAAAATGTCCACAAGGTTGAGGAGTGTGTTTATGGGAATGTTTGACCGTTCTTCCAGAAGCGCATTTGTGGGCTCAGACATTGATGTCGACCGAGAAGGCCTGGCTCACAGTCTCCGCTCTAACTCATTCCAAAGATGTTCTACTGGGTTGAGGGCAGGCCAGTTAAATTCCTCTACCCCAAACTCGCTCATCCATGTCCTTATGGACCTTGTTTTGTGCGCTGGTGCACAGTCATGTTGGAACAGGAAGGGGCCATCCTCAAATTATTCCCACAAAGCTGAGACCATGAAATTGTCCAACATGTCTTGGTATGCTGACACCTCAGAGTTCCCTTCACTGGAACAAAGGGGCCAAGCCCAAACCCTGAAAAGCAACGCCACACCATAATCCCCCTCCACCAAACTGAACACTTGGAAAAATGCAGTCAGGCAAGTACCGTTCTCCTGGCAACAGCCAAACCCAGACACATCCATCGGATTGCCAGACAGAGAAGCGTGATTTGTTACTCCAGAGGATACATCTCCAATGCTCTAGAGTCCAGTGGCAGTGTGCTTTACGCCACTGTATGCAATGCTTTGCAATGCACTTGGTGATGAAAGGCTTGGATGCAGCTGCTTGGCCATGGAAACCCATTTCATGAAGCTCCCTATGCACTGTGGCTGTGCTAATCTGAAGGCCACATGAAGTTTGGAGGTTTTTAGCTACTGACTCTGCAGACAGTTGGTAACATCTGTGCACTGTGTGCTTCAGCATGCGCTGACTCTGATCTGTCATTTTATGTGGCCTTCCACTTTGTGGCTGAGTTGTTGTTGTTCCCAGTTGCTTCCACTTTGTTTTAATACTACTAACAGTTGACCGTGGAATATTCTGTAGAAAGGAAATTTCACGGATGGACTTACTGCACAGGTGGCAACCTATCATGGTACCATGCTTGAATTCACTGAGCTCCTGAGAGTGACCCATGCTTTTATAAATATTTGTAGAAGTAGTCTGCATGCCTAGGTGCTTGATTTTATACACCAGTCGCCATGGAGGCGATTGGAACACCTGAAGCCAATGGTTTGAAAGCATGTCCCAATACTTTTGGCAATATAGTAGATAGTATCTGTCCTGTGCAAATAGAACTAAAAAAACAACAACAAACAAATATTATCAGGCTGGTTCCTGTTCTTGTTAAATATTTTTCATTGATTTAAAATAGGAAATACTGTATTTGATCACATTTTGGCAGCATTTGAATTTCCTATGATACTTAGCATCGTCTAGTGGTCAAATGCAGTTTGATGCTTAGCTCCGTCTAGTGGCCAAATTATGACACAAAACTGTTGAATATAAATGTAAACCAAAGCAAAATAAAGCTGTCCTGACATGCAGAGAATTAACTAGCTGCTGGCAGTTGTGGGTGGACTGTGCAGTTTACATCCATGATATATTTTCTGCACCTTTGAATATTTTCTTGCAGTTATATCTATAATGCTTTAAATGATTATAGAAATGGTTTCCCATAGTAACTGACCATGTAAGACCTGAGTCTGACATCCATATCCAGCATCACATTGTGTAAAGAATATTAGCAACAACAGGCCAAAGGTAGCTCTCTGGTGAAGCTGGTCTAGGCAAAACACAGAGTGTGGTGTGTTCAAGTGGTCTTAGGCCACTCTAAAGAACATGCTGGAGCCTACAAACAGAAATTATCTTGCCTCTGCCAGCTGCTGTAAATGACCCTTTTACCACACACAAGCCACAATTTTTTTCCTAAGCTGTCTGTTGACTTTCTTCAATTGGGTGATATTACCCCCTGCAGTGCTTCTAAATGACTTATTGTTGCTCTGTGGGTTTTCCATTTGATTGTTGGCATATCTACACTCACTGGTCACTTAATTAGGTATACCTTGCTAGTACTAGGATGGACCCCCTTTCGTCTTCATAACTGCCTTAATTCTTTGTGGAATAGATTCAACAAGGTGTTGGAAACATTCCTCAGAGATTGTGGTCCATATTGACATAAGTTTCTGTTGCCTTTTTATCATCTTGAACCAGTCTGCCCATTCTCCCCTGACCTCTGACATCAACAAGACATTTTTGTCCACAGGATATTTTTCCCCCCCCCCCCCCCCCCCCGCTAAAAGCTAAATATAAACAACAGGGGGTCATGGATACTATAATAGCTACCAACTGATTTGGAGGGACTTTTGCTCTCTTGGAAGCAAATCCATTCATGCCTTATTTGTCCCTCTTTTAGATCTGTTGCTACCAAAGTGTTAAATTGCAATAAACTCAACCAGTATAAAAATATACCAGTATAAAAAAATAGTGCTAAAAAATAATAACTTGTAGGTTTAACCAATATTTTTTGAGTGATGATTCTTCATGGCCCATGTACCCTGGTGGCATCATAGTGGTGCATCTTTCATCTACATACCTTATACTAAGGTGTCCCTCTTTCTCATCTCAGAAAATTGGAAGGCAAGTATTGGTGCTTCCATTGCTCAAATATTGCAATGTTAATATTTGGGTAACAATGATGTTACAGGAAAGGGGGGCCTGATAGGGAACTAGTCCTGCTGCAGCACCTGTTTGGTGGGCTGATGGGAAAAAAGAGAGATTAGTTCTCCATCCAGTCCACCTAGCTTTTCACTGACAGCAAGCAGATTCGAAAGGTGCTACTGGACTGAATAGCAGCTATGGATTCACCCAATGCCGTGCGCTGTCAGTCAAAAGGAAAGCAGACCTGATGGGGAACTAAGGACTTTTAAAGTGCCTTACAATTACACAAACTAGTATACAGTATAGGATTTTTAAGATAATGTTTTAATATTAAAGTGTAAACATTTAATATAAATTACTCAAAAACCTTGGTGATAGCATACAGTATATAGACAAATTTAAGTACCACCCATACACCCCAATATATGTACCCTGTATTACCCATGGTTTATTAGGATTTACACATATCCAAATGCCCAAAAATGGGTTCCAAAAGTTTCATCACCACCTGTGTCTGTGGGACAGAGCTCCTTGTGTTTCATAGAAAATTTGTTATTTAGGAGACATGAAGAGTAATGTGTATATTTATGGCACCTTCAAAGCCCCAATAAAATCTTTGCTTATGTTGGGTATTTTAATTAGGAACATGGTGCTCAGACCTCTTTTAGTCCTGCTAGTTTATTAGATTCTCTTATGTGTAGAAATATTTTCTTGGATGTAAAATGCACACTCCACCCCTTAGCAGCCAGCAGCTAAGTTATCCTCTGCATACCAGGACAGTTTTGTTTTAAATGTTGAATTACGGTACATGTATTTTTGACAGATTTGTGGCATCATTGTGTTCATTGTATTTATGCCGTGCTTTTACTGATGTTTCTATACAACATACTGCTTGGACCTGGATATCAGAACCAACATCCTAGGCTGACATGAGCAACCACTCGATTATCATGGTTAGTATTGTATGATAGGAGACTGATATTACTTTCCCTGCATTCATATAGTATTTGAAACCAGATGGATGCAGAGGATACTGTGTTCACAATTAATATTCAAATGGTGTTGTAGATTGCTGATATATAATATATTTTTTTTTTCATGTTGACCTGATCTTAAAGCCCAACTGTGGGACATCTGAAAAACTACTAATTTGGGTCTGGGGGAGAATAAAAGCACTCTTAGTTATCTGATTCTCCACTCCTCCTGCATATAGCACTCCCCCATGATCCAGCAGTATCTATCCCTTGGTGCATTCACATCCAATGGGGAGCTTTGGTTAGTCTTGTTGACATCAGGACCTTAGACTGCTTGAATATGGAGAAGATGATGCTATGAGGATCAGTCTAGCAGTGTGGAGGAATGGAGGCTTAGGCAAGAAAATCTACTTTTGCATGCCCCTAGACCGAAACGAACAGTTACCCCTTGCAGTACACAGCATGAAATAATTTCTAAGCTTCCTGGAATTAAACACTTAAAATCTAGACACTTTCATCCCCATCCAGTCCAGGACATGTTCAGCTTTAAGCACTTTCACATGTTGAGTGACAATTACTCAGTCATGCAACACTGTATCCATATGAAATTGTTAGTTTGTTTTAGAGACAGAGCTTTCTTTTGATGGTATTTAATCACCACTGGGTTTTTTTTTATTTTTTTTCTATACAAATGAAACAAAAAATGTGAAAAAAAAATGTTTTGCTTAGTTTTTTGTTAGAAAGTTTTGCAAATAAATACTTTTTTCTTAATACATTGTGGCCAAAATGTATTCTGCTACATTTTTCGGGTAAAAATAACCCAAAACAGTGTATATTATTTAGTCTGTGTGAAATCTATAGAGTCTACAAACTGCAAAAATGCAAAAATAACCCAAAACAGTGTATATTATTTAGTCTGTGTGAAATCTATAGAGTCTACAAACTATGGGATATATATTTGAAAATTGATCAGTTGAGACCCTAAAATGCCGGATGCTGGTATGATGTATGGCAGTGATCAGGATGCTGGTATGGGGTATGGCGGTGATCAGGATGTTAGCATGAGGTATGGTGGTAATCAGGAAGCTGGTATGGCGGAGATCAAGATGCTGGTATGGGGTATGGGGTGAACAGGATGCTGGTATGGGGTATGGAGGTGATCAAGATGCTGGTGTGGGGTATGACAGTGATCAGGACACTGGTATAGGGTATGGCGGTGATCAGAACTCTGGTATGGGGTATGGCAGTTATCAGGACACTGGTATGGGGCATGGTGGTGATCAGGTTGCTGGTATGGCATATTGGGTGTTCAGGATGCTTGTACGGGGTATGGCTATGATCAGGATACTGGTATGGCAGTGATCAGGGTGTTGGTGTGGGGTTTGGCGGTGAACGGGATGCTGGTAGGGGGGTAATCAGGACATTGGTATGGTATATGGTGGTGTTTTCATGCACACTGGGACAGGTAACAGGGTCTGGCTGCATTGTTTATTGTCCCTACTGGGTTAGTGATCAGGGACACTGGTGTGGCTTGCACTGCAGTCTGTGAGTGTACAAGCAGCCTGATAGGCTGCTTTACACTCATAGGCTGCCGGATTGCTTCTCTCAGTGAGAGCAGAGAGAAGTGATCTTTTGTTTCCCTTTGCATTGTTTACTATGTGATTGCTGTGATTGGATACAGCAATCAAATCGTAAAACACCACGTGATTGCCCGAACACAGCAGTAATGTGATCCACTGTGTCCGGGCGATATACCGATCGCTAGGCTCCTTGGTGTACTCTCTGTGAGCCACCCAGGAGCCGCCGATGCTGGCTGACGTACAGGTAAGTTAGTCCTCATTGGCAAAGCTTCCTGGCTGCTGTCTATAGCCTAGGGGTGGATGGGAAGAAGTTAAAAACCATTGTGGGTTTGCAATTCACACCAAGTGTTTTAGAATTTCCCATATATGGTTGATCCTGTTTGTCTTCACTTTTTGAGGTTACATTTTGATTCTGTGGAATCTCTAAGTTTCTTAGATTTTCTATTAAACATTTTATATAGGATGTTTTTCTTTATTTTATTGATGTTGTGTTCTCAAATGTCAAGGTTTTCAATGCCTAGCAACAATTCATTATGAGTGTGTACACAGCCACTCAAAATCAGTATTTGGACAGTTGGTACTTATTAGGAATTGGCATTTCCTTGACTCACATCATTACTTGGCAGACGGTAAGCAATAAAAACAATCACGTCTTTCTTAAAAATTAATGACATCACTATTATCATTATTTATCTACTTATTTATGTAATCATTATGTTTACAAAGCACATGCATCATTTTTTTTATTATTTTTTCCCTGGAGATGCTCATAATCTTTCCCGAGAAGTGAAGTAATTACACCACTACTATGATATTTCACAAAGTTTTCAGAGTGCTAATGTAATACGCACAGGGGCAGACTGACAACTCATGGAGCCCCCGGGCAATAGGGGATCATGGGGCCCCTGTGTCCTTGCCCAAACTCAAAAAAGCCTATGAAAAAGGTACCAGGGGCATCTCATGGGGCACC